CAGGACAGAATGTTATACGTCTTAAAAATCGACTGCATTTACAGTTTACCCATGTGTGAACTAATGCCGTGCTTGTTTGAACAGATGCCATAGAAGAGGGCGCTTCGACAGTCAACTGCTTTTTTTAGACATTCATCATAATACCACGAGAAGACCGCATGTCCCACTGCAAATCTGTCTTTTAAACACACAGAGAGATGATAGGATAGCTTCAGTTAGTAACCTCAATCCGGCAGATAAGTCTGAGATGGAAAGCATTGCTGCGTTTACTAACCTCCCAATGGTCATGACGAAGCTTCCACTGAGGCTTTCCGCCTCGGAGGTGCTTGTATGGTATATGTTTGCCACTAGGGCTGACAGTGCATATACTATCGTGATTAATACCACCTGTGACTGGTAAATGCTTAGACTCTGAACATGACATTATACTCATGCCGACTCTTTCAGCAACCTTTATGAATATCATACAACACGGGTACATTGACTGTGGACTCGTTCACGTTGCGACACCGGTGATATCAATAACTTGACAAACACATACAAATACTGAACGCGGTGGTAAAGTGTGTCAAGGTGCCCGGTTGTCCAAATTGATGTGAACGAATTATGTGAGTGAGTTTAGCTTTACGCCGCTCTTAGGAACGTTGCAGCAATATCATGGCGGTGGACACCAGAAATGAACTTCACACATTGTACTCATGTACAACTCCATTTTCTAAAAGAAAAAATGAAATTGTACGGTTTTGGCGTAAGCACTGCAGTACTGAACAGTCAAGAATAGTCAGTGCTATATGCAGATGGTCTAATACTTGTTCAAAATCTTGAATAGAACTGTAGTTAATATTCTTTACAATTTAGATCTCGACGTAGTGGACCTATATAATATGTCTAAAGTGGAATTTATTATGTTTCACAGTGGATACGATCTTCACATTGTCAGAATAAGACTAAAGAACTCTGGAAAGACCGGGGGAAACCTAACGGGAATAAACTCCGTTCTTCAAAAGAGTTTAAGAAATTATTAACAGCTGAGCCATATATTACTGAAATTCTGCCTAAATCTCATCGCAGTATACTTAGTAAGTTACGATGTGGTACCCTACCTTTGGAAATAGATGCCGGTAGATTTACACGCCCCCACCTTTAGATGATAGTATTTGTAAATGTAGTGATGGCAATACGATTGAGGACGAAGTTCACTTTTTGGTCAGCTATCCACTATATTCGGATTTACGACATTAACCTTTTATCTTTCTCTTGTCGCCTACTGACCAGGCCGCATTTATGCTAGGTAATGTTAAATTATTAAAACCCTTAGCTTCATTGGTTACTAAAATGTTTAATAGTTTAATAGTTTGTAGTGCTGTAATTACAATGTACCACACTTCACTGTTGTTTATAAAGCTGTGATATTCTATTCACTACGATTCTGTTTTAGGTATAATGTAGTGTCTTGTGTCTCACAGGCCATATGACCGGATGTTATATTTTATTGAGTGTTTTAAAGTGTCTATGTGTGTTTTATATCTAACATGTGACACACAAACAAAACTATTTTCTTTTTCTTCTTTCTTGTAATTATATGTTAAGACCAGCTGTGGCTTTGCTGCATGTAATGTCTTACCATCTATTTACCATTGAATATTCTGTTCGGTTGGCAGCTAACTGCCGGGGAAAAGTGTTGGTTCAGGAGTTAGTTTATTTAGGAATCTACCGCAGGTCATAGGTACATAATATGTTCGCTGCATGGTCGGCTAAATCTTAACGCCTTGCATTCTTAACCAGAATTTGTAACAATGTATGAGAATGTATGCAATAGAGCTATGTTCACTCAGCTGATGTATTTACTCTCGTTTTAAGTAGTTAATTTGATGTATATAAATTCGACATCTAGAAATTTCAAATGGTTCTGAACACGTTAGAAAGTCAGGATTCATTTTTCAACATTTGAACACCGTTTATGATATTGATTAGTCAGATAACATTTTAAGCGTAAAAACAATTGAGAGCATTTAGATATTTTAAACTGATGTAATATATTATGTGATATCAAGGGAAACATAATGCCAACCCTACTGTGGATGTGTGGACACCTTCAATAGAAGACTGAGGACCTGACAACGCCGTGGTGGTCATTACGAACAGCTCTTAATGCTGTCAACTAAGTCATCGAGTCTACACACTTGGGCCCCATTCTGTCTGCAGGCTCGCCGACGTGGTTGATGCATGTCATCGTATCCAAATTGATGCCCATGCTGTTGATCTCTGGATTGCATGGTACAGACTCGATTATTTACAGACCTTAAATGAGCCTGTGGACCAGACAATGCCTGATTGATATTATGTACAGTCCTTAATGCTGTCAACCTAGCCTTTCAACTTAATCCATTCTTGAAACCTTTTCCCATTCTCTGGTCGGTTGACGGGTTCTACAGAGAATACGTGTCCATCTGATGTATTTTAGAAACAGGTAATTGTGCACAGGTTATACACAGCAAGATATATAGCACCTGTTATATAATTGCATGACGTGTCTGGTTATGTTAGTGGCACCAACATAAACAAACATGTTGATAACGTGCGTGTTTTACATTCATTCATAACAATCATTTGACCGTTTGGATAAAACGGATTTGTAAAAATGTAATATATCCAGTCATAAAAAGGTAGAACTATCTTTAATTTATGGTGTATCCAAGAAGCGATATGCATTCTACAAATGATATCTCAATTAGACGTAATAATACAATATACTCGGGAAAAAGATGAGGTTTTATTGATGGATGCCCTATACTAGCAAAAATTGTTGCGCATGAATGAAAGTTCGTTTGTTTCTGCAAACAAAAATAGGTGGTCATTTCTTTTAAAATGCGTTGAATATTTGCAATTTTTTATAAAAAAAAGTAAAGTTATGTTTCAGAAACTGTGAAATATGGCCTAATGTTCTACATGTAACACCGGTGTACGCCAAGGCTGTATTCTTAGCACTTTCCGTTTCTGTATTTTCATCAGTGAACTTGCTACGCAAATTGCGAATGGTAAACAACTTCATCCAGATATTAAGATACTTAGATTGCCGTTTGCTGATGATATATAGTTGTAGGTAAGTTTTAAAATACTATCGGTTTGCAAAAGTTGATAGCTCAAGTGGAGCTCTGAAGTTCAAACTGTAAACTCCCTGTAAACACTTTTAGTTTGTCAATAGGACACAACTATCAAGCAGGGATAAGATATATTTCACCTAACAACCGAAACAAATTGCCACTTCTTATGAATACCTATGGGGCACTCTCATCAGCGTCGAACTGTCACTCTTGTAATACAGCAAAATAACAAAAACAATGGTATCTAACAGGGTCTTAATGACATTCAAAGGTCTTTTGGAACATTTATCTGCAAATATTTGACACAGAAATTACTCATACTCGTTTTTCAATGGCGCATCGATCGAGTGTTATGGAATACTTTGTGTGTGGACAATTTATATACACTAATCACAGACTTATGATCAAGTTGGCAGACATACATACATAGCTACAAAAATGAAGATTTGTGAGAATCTGATATACATGTGATCGAAGATAACTTTCCTGTTACTTCGTACAAAATAGAGCTTTCTGCAGAGTTAATATTTAGACCTGCCTTACTCGCCCAGACGTTGGTGCAAACAATATAATCTTTAAAAACCTATCAAGGTCCATTTATTTGTTTTGTTTAGTTTATTAAGCAGTAATAAAGGCCTCCACCCCAAAGTACATGTGTTGATATTTCATGAAACATTAAACACCACCATTAACATATTGATTATATATATACACAAATATGTTTATATTCATCCAACAACATTCATCGTGTCAGTATGAATCCATTCCTCGCGACCAATCTTACACGCATAAACATACGCATGACATACAGTGCCTTTCAGTACCAACATTTTACACAGGTTCGCGGCTGTAATATTGTACGTGCGCCTCATAGAATGAGTTCTCTCCCTTGTTAAACATCATTTAAAATGACTATCTCCAGTATTGCCTTGATTGTCTAAGTGAGTACTTCTTATTTTAGTGACCTGTTTATGTTGAAGCTGCTCTCTTATTTGTCTGCAGATGCCTTTTAGTTTATTTCTTGACCTTCTATATATATACTGTTGGAAATCACTATTCATGTTGATTGCTCTGAACTTCTCAAAGAGTTTGTAATTCTTTTCCGATTTAATGATCTCACTTTCCTTGTCCCACTCTGTTTCTGATTTGCATGCCACTGGCTATTGCAGCTTCGCTTATAGAGCTGGACAGTAGTATATGTGCAGCCTCATCAACATTACCCTCTTCCACAAGAGTGTTAAACTCATTACAACACTGAGTCCATATGTTCTTCGGACATACTCCTGGTGAACAGATTGTCTCCATTCTAAGCTATTCCCAGGACCAACGCTACCCCATCGATTACACATGTCAAATGGACAAGAATGTACTCATTTCACGCAGGTCTATATCTTTAATCAAAGAGACGAGGAAGGCGAGTCATTGAACTTGGTCCTTTTCTTCTTCTTCTTCTTCTTTTAAATCTAGAATAGCCACCCAAACAATGGGAAAATAAGTTGTTTGATTTGTTCAAAATGGTATTCGTATAGCTACTCAAAGTTGTCTCTTACTTCTGCCTTGACATCCAAACTGAGTGACTCCTCAAAAGCCCATAGATATCAAAACCTGGACAACTGGAAAACATGGGCCTAATGCAAAGTCGTAAAATGTTTTAACGTGCCAGTTTGTGCAAAATGTTGTGTCCGAATGAAGTTTGTGCTTCTCTATACAATGTGCAAATTATATTTAACTCTGTAACAAGTTGTAACACGGTTTCCGTTTTCGATCTCCATCGTGTCCTGAAAGCACATACCAAATTTTGTTTCCATGTCTATGACGGTTTTGGGAAGATCTCTCCCGCATCACCTCGGACGGACGGACGGAAGTCAAACCAACAGCCCGTCCCATTTCGTTGCAGGGATATAAAATACTATATCTATTCATACATAGATTTAAACATCCATTTGTTTGGCTTCTTGGTCAATGGAATACACAAGGCGAGGAAGGCACTAATGATGAAACAGGCACCTGCAACGAAACAATGAGCAAATATACACAGAGTTAAAAGATATGTACCCATGTCCAGTGTCCTCCGCCGTGATATTGCTGATATATTGGTAAAACAGCGTAAAACTATACTCCTTACATGAAATATGCAGACAACAATGAGGCACTGATGTTGGCAAACCATTTTGTACTGAAACAACTAGAAAGCATGCGCATTAAATGTATATTTACAGACAATAATATCCGATGTTTACAAAGAAATCGTGTTGTTTCTCAAAAATGTACGATTGTGGTTTTCCTCTCAAGTTAATTGTTTTCTCTATCAGAAATTAAAGGTTACCGCTTGACAATCAATGGTTTGTCAATTGTTCGAATTTTTTTCCTGAAGGTTCGGCATTCTTGAACAAGGGGAGTATACAATGAACCATACAACTTTATGGATGACATCTTGTTTATTGCACAGAGCGACCAATTTGATGTAGATTCTTACACTGTTATCAAGCTAAACGTGATAGCGGTGTAGAAATCTACATCGAAACGAGTCTGTTTTCAGTAAACAAGAAGTTGTCATCCATAAAGTTGCATGCTTATTATTGGTTTGTCATACTGTTTAGTTCAACAAATGGGACGCGAATGTCTATATCTGAACAAAATATAAAATCTACACTTACTCTCTCATCATTTAGTGGACTATTCTCTTTCGACATATTTTCATCTGGCAGAGTGCATAAACTCATTTTACTTGTTTCTTGACAATATGGCGATTTTCAATAAGGGTGATCACAATTACCTACCTGAGAAAAGAAACGTTAAGTCATACACCCCAGTACTTTCATAAATAAGACCTGAAACACAATGTGGTGGTTCTTCATTTAACAGAAAATATTATGTCTCAGTTTGATGATAAAATAGTTTAAGGTCATGAACAAAACTAAAAGCGTTAGTAGTATATACCAAAATGCATATTTGAGCATTAATGACTATGCATGTTTGATGATTGGTTCATACCTCCACGCACCAGTCAGGTTGTGGGTTACAAACCGTCTATTAACACATTAATTAACGCATTATCGCATCAACCACTCACACATTCACCGGCAAAATATACATTCAAGTGTAACCTACTTGCAATGGGTGGTCCAACCATGCTGCCGAGTCAAAGCAAAAGGAACATATACCATATCCAACGGCCAATTTGGATCGGCCTATCAGCTCAATGCATATAGGACTAACCAATGTGTAAGGTCCCTGACTGTATGTACCATACAGGGCACTGAAAATCATTTGGAGACTGTACGTATGTGACAGCACGGGGAGTAGCAGAAGGGACACTGCTGTCATTCCTTGTAGTCCAACGTGAAGGATAATGTTTCCAATAGCTGTATCAGAAGAGGCAAAACCAATCAGCAATCCGGAAAAATGGGCAGGCACACCCATGACAGTGAACAAACTGGCAGACTGTGCAGGTGTACTGCCTCTCAATTCAGCAAAATTTGGTAAATGAACCATGCAAAGCTGAACCCCCAAAGAGACCAGAAAATGATACTGAGCAGATACAAGAAAAATCCATTTGTGCAGAACAAGGCTACACATTGATGCATTATCATACTCCGTGAGTTTTCAGTTGTTAAATGCGAGCTGTGTTCCAGCAGAGATTCTGCCGTTTCATTACCTTTCCCAGGACTGTTTTCTTTAACAATCCGAGGCAAATCAGCTGGAGAACATTGGTTCTCGTCACGCTGTTCAAACTTGACGGTCGTAGTTTCTACAGTTAGAACATTATGTTGCGATTGCATCGTCATTGTAGGATCTCCTTGTGCATCACAAATCTCCTCTGTGTCTTCTTGGCGGTGGGCGAGATCTATTGACATTGACTCCTCTTGCATCAGAGTAGATGATGGTCGAATTAGAGCTCCAACTAAGCACAAATTGAATGTAATGGCACCCAAAATAAGCAACGCGCCGGATAAAGTGTACATCTCCAACAGCTGAACTGTTAATGGTCCGATTACCAGCAGTCCTACTGCACCTCCAGACATGCAGATACCGTATGCCACTGGGAGTCTCTTATTGAAGTAGTTGCTGGGGGCCACGCCACTCACGTTAGCAGCCAGACCACAACCTAAACCTGTGGACATAGATACACACGTTCGCAGGTTGTGGAAGCATACGCCAATGAGTTATTACGTGTAAATTTGCAGAATAACCAACGAGGTACGAGTAATTACGGAAAGTGTATCACGGATAAGAGGTTATAGTCCCAAGCTTTAAGACGTTATTAACTTTCAAGGTGACAAATGGTCAGCCATGTTTACAAACAATTTAGTTGTAACATTTTCTAATTACTTTGAAGATTGTAAAGAGTGAAACTCTTGGGAAATGAATGTTTGGTTGACTATAATGTAAAATATAAGTGATCAGAAACTATGTTCGTGTCTTGTAAATCGCAGATCAGTTGAGGCTGTAGTAAAATATGCGAAAGAATGCACTGGGTTTGTGAATGAAGTCAGTGAGAGAAATAGTTCCGTCGTCAAATGAAAATACATCTTTGTTTAACTGTCTGCTTCGAGGATCATTCACTAACTGCACACTGTGCAAATATGAAAAAGATACGAGTTTCCACTACATTTTTATCCCATGTAGGTTAAAAAGCATATACATGTACAAAGCATATAGCTTTTATTTTGTTTTGAAACCATGAATCAAAGTGTCACATTCACCACACTGTACGAGTCAAGTATACAGCAAACATGTTGAATCTTACCTGTTATGACTCCAAACGTAAGGATCAAACTAGTGACAGTCCTACAAAGGATGCAGCTGTCAGTCAAAGAAGCATCAGTATACCACCCAGAATAATACCTGTCCATCGGTTTCCAATTCTGTCGTGAATAATTCCTGCTAATGGGCCTGAAAAGTCCGTCATTAGTTTGGTATGTTTGTAGCTGTATGTCGAATTTCATTTGGAAACATTTTGTTCTTTGAATGAACCATGTATTTCTTTTATCATACTCTTTCCACAACAGACTTTAGTAAATATGCTGCATATTTTGCGTTTTCCTTCCTGTACTAAACATCAACATGGAACTTCAACATTATGTCATGGTTGAGGATCAAATGTACAGACAAATGTTTCAAAATACGGATGAACAGTCAATTATGTCTTACGTCAGACACCGAACATGTGTCCCTAATATGTACACAATGACCCTGAGTTGTGTGTGGCAAGACTGACGGAACAACAAAGTCTTCCAGGTCTTACAGACTGTCGGTTCTTTAGAAACCGCACAGATATGTATGCCTGCTCAAATCAATCTTTATTCATACTGAAGGCCACAGGCCCATAGAATACAAGAACATAGTACACAATATCATAGAAAGTAATAATATAGTCACATCACAATATGTCATATCACATCAAAATGTATCACATCATATAATATCGCATTACACATACTTTGTCGTATCACATCATATCATAACACCATATTACATCATATCATATCGTACCATATCATCTACTATCCCACCACATCATACCATTTCATATCAAATAACAATATGAGTAGACACATTCTATGAATTATTATGTTTATTTCTTAGAGACAATGCCTGATAGATAAAGGTTGACAACTTACGGACAAGAACATTGTCATCGAGTACTCATTAACAAAGAAAAATTTCACCTATCGGGATATACAAAATAATATTTTTGGGACAATTTTTTTTCTTAACTCACAATAGAATTTGCAAATTAAGGAGTGAAATGATATTCATCTTCTACACAATTAAGATCACAAAATGTACAAATTCTATTTTCTCTCTCTATTTTATGATATCTCCCTGTTTCGATTGCCAAGTCATGTGAGGAACACCTAAACCGAGCAAAATTCTCTCTGTATACATGGGATTTAAACATTCTATAATAGAAACATTTAATTGACAATGACAGTGCTACAACCCATTCTTGTGTATATATATCTTTTTTAGCCTTTGAGTAAAATTATTCCACAAAATTTGTATGAGAGAGTCAACCTTTTGCCTTTGCCATACCTCCAAAACCTATTGTATTTAACAATTCTCGAATGTGTTAGTCCTTGAAGTTAGTCTTTCCGTTGTTATCGTACATTAACATCATATCCGCTTAACACTGTCTAGGGGTATCTATCAGATGGCATGTACATAGCAGACGTATCAATATTTTATTATTCTAACTTTAGTAAATATGTGTATGGGGAATCTTCCACAATCTCCATATACCATGGCATTAGGTGTACTTGCTTTCACTCCTAAAAATGTCTTGCAAGTATATAAATGTAATTTTTAAACTTATTGTATCTCACGGTATGCACCATCTCTCTCTTCTACGACCATGTTTGGAAACGTGCTGTGAGCTAAGTTGAGTCAAATCTAACTGGCCTCTGACCCGCCCTGACCTCTGCCCTCATCCCGACATCAACGCCTGTCAATCATCCACCAAAGCGTGCAGCTTGCCGAAATGATCACATGACCGCCTCTACCTGTCATTCTCTTTCTTGTCGCCAAGTTGTGTGGACGTGTGTTTGTCTATAAGAGAGTTTGATTGTGTTTCTACAATGGGAAAATCGAATCATTATGGTTCTAATAAACGCAAACATTGCGATAACTGCAACAGTAATTTCTCGGCGGCAGACCCACATAACCTATGTGTTGACTGTTTAGGCCGGTGTGAATGGTCTAGACGTTGCACCTTGTGTGCAAATCGTGACGACGATGCGTTTTCCGAATATCACCTGGTAGCTTGTAGACGCAACTTTGACAGAGATTGTCGGAATCCACCTCAGGGTCTGAGTAGTAAACGTCCTAAGTTAGACCACGTTTGATATCTGCAGTACGACGTTCGAAGTCGAAGAATCCTGATGAAGATTTCTTAGAGAGGCGTCTGATTCCTACCTCAGTGAAAATCTGCGTCAACTCTTCCGTCCGCATTCTTATAGCCTCATTACTCTAGAAGATTCTTCACCACCACGAGTTGATGTGTTATCTACGTCTGGTATTCATCCCGGCCGTCTTTTGTGGTGAATGTTCCTCAGCGTCTTTACGTTTCGGAGGTGGGGACTACTCATGCGGCGCTTATTGTGATTCCTAACATTACATCACAAGTGAGGTTTACTTCCAGTTCGACGCTTACATCAGGAGTTACCTACGTTTAGAGCGCAGCTTGTCACTGATCCCACGTGTTTGCTCAGGGCGGCGCCTTTCTACCAGTGCGCTGCTTACTTTTGAAGCTACGCTTACATCAGGACAGTTATCTACGATTAGAGCGCCGATTGTCACGGATCCCATATGTTTGGTCAGAGCGCCGCTTCCTCCCGGTTGGGGCTTCCTCCCGGTTCGGCGCTTCCTCCTGGTTCGGCGCTTCCTCCTGGTCGGCGCTTCCTCCCAGTGTTCCTGGTTCGGCGCTTTTCCAGTGTTCCTGGTTCGGTGCTTCTCCCAGTGTTCCTGGTTCGGCGCTACATCCCGGTTTGGCGCTTCCTCCCGGTTTGGCGCTTCCTCCCAGTGTTCCTGGTTAGGCGCTTCCTCCTGGTGTTACTGGCTTAGCGCTTCCTCCTGGCGCTCCCAGTTCGGCGTTTCCTCCTGGACTCCCGGTTCGGCTCTTACTCATATTGACTTTGGTTCGGCGCTTGCTCCTGTTGTTCCCGGTTCGGCGCTTCAGCATGGTTCTTTTAGTTCAGCACTCACTCACAGTCTTCCTGGTTCAGCGCTTACCTACAGTATTACCGGTTCAATGCTTACTCCTGGGGTTATTGTTTCTCTGCTCACTCATGGTGCTCCAGGTTCAGCGCTTACTCATGGTGTTCCTGGTTCGGTGCTGCCTCATAGTTCACTGGCTTCTGTATTGACTCATGGTACAATGCTTCCTCAGGTTTCAGCGCTTACTGCCAGGTGTTGACGTCAGCGCTAGGTCCACTCAGTTCAGCTCTGGAGTTCAAAGCACGGGATCCTACGTCTAGGGTTTCTGTTTAGTTCCCAACAACGTGATATTATCATCCACTGGAAGGGGGACTTAATCTTCCTCAAGTTACCAAAAGCCTTATCCAGAGACGCTGCCAATTGAGTGATACACGGTCGAGGTGGGAACGTGATGGAACCAAAATTACCTGGCTTCATATCAAAATGGATAATACATTACCCAACGAGAGTACTTTCGCTATATCTACGGAGGTTATCGGCAATCCTGACGAGTAGTTAAGGTGTGTCAACAACATCCATGTTACCATCCGATTGGGACGTACCATCCGAAGATAGAGATGACGTCATTGAACGATGAACCTCCTCTAAAATAGAACTATGCTAGACCAGTGATAACTGTCAAGCTGTCTCCTTCCTCACAAGAGTCAAGCACGCTGAGGTAGAAGTTCTGCAATGGGAGTCGTAGATGAACTTGTAGTTCTATAAGAACCTTTATGTATTTCAACACAATTGGTTATTTTACGGCGCTTCATCGAGACCGATGACTACAGTCTACAAGTAACAGCATTAAGCGGGTATGAACTTCAGCTGATCATCTGTATAAGATGACGATTATATTATCTTCAGTGAAGAAGGAAACAATCACAACAGCCAGGGGACAGTCTACTTACATCGGTATTACGCGCGGCGATATCGTTCGCGTTTTCCACTCAGCCTGCTATACGAAGTGTTCACTTTCGTGCAACTCCGGAGATTACGAACAAAGGCCTAGTGTTGATGAAGAAACCAACGACTGCACAAGATTTTTACAAGGATCTTTTTCCTGCAACACCAGTGACGTCACATCGCGGGAATCTGAGATGAATCAAATGCTGCAATTTGATTGGTCCATGAGAGACAACGCCCTACATGCAGAAGTCTGGCATAAGCTCACATACCAGGGGAAGTCGTCTACGGGTGTAAACAACTTTTCAAGGTGGGAGAAAGGCTCCATTTACAGTCAAGTTAGCAGGGAGATACAGCGTGTTTCGACTGTCTTCACGGGTCATTAGGACCTTACCAATGTCAGCAGATTGAAGATTGTTTATCCGGTGATTTTTGCAGCAACATACGTTTGACGATTTTTGTGTTCGAGGCAGCCAGTCTACTATAAATAGATTTCATAGCGATGGCAGTTCCAGTACAT